CACTGATTTAGCAGGTTTTGCATTTTTTTAGAAGTACCGAATCAAGCAGATCTATAAACAAGAAACAAAATAGCTGTAGACAGAAAAGTAGATACAATGTTGGCAGCTCAACCTTGTTTATCTGCAGCCAAATCCTCATTAACATCTTACACTTGATATACTTTTACAATGTATAGTCATGTTATAAGAGTGCTCCCCCTTGATTAATGGCTTCTTTGCATGGGACCAAAGTCATTGATTTCATTACCAGTTCCATCAAAGCCTTTTGGACAATATCAAACTTTCTGTGCCTGATGGGCTGGAAAGGAGAATGACTGTTTGTACAAAATGTGTTTAATTTTATTTTTATATAAATTGGTTCTTTTGTCTTTATGATCAGAGCTAACCTCCATGCCTTCTTAAGTATTCACCAGATCCAACTGCAGAGGACATTTGCAGGTGGGATCATCACCGAAGCAGGTCTTTGGAGTATGTACAAGTAGTAGATACAGTATTATCTACTGGTACAGATCTGATATTAGATTACAGTAGCAATAGTCGCACATCCCCTTTCTGCAGGTTCCCATTCAGCAAGCTGAAGAGTGGAGTAGGCTCTGTTTTGATTTTGCACTGTATAAGGTGCTACCAGATTAACAGAGATTTCATGCTAAATTTTGAGAAGAGAGGTATTTCTGACCTGAATTGTAAGAGGAACTACAAATACCCGAAGGGTTTTACTCTCGAAAACTATTTTTATTTTTTATAGTCTAAACATGACCTTTGACATCAAGACATAAATGTTTAGACCAGTTTTAATATCCATTTTTAGTGTGCCTAATACATGATGTTCTATACAATCTTGCAAAATACCTCAAGAGCACATTTATCTCAAAATAATTTGTTAGTAAAATAGCTGACAAACCATTTTGATGTAGTGTCGCAGCATGACTGTTTCAAAGCCATGACATCTCCAGCATCTCAGCAGCATAAACATCGCTTGTGTCAGATCGTGCAGTCACTTTGTCATGCCTGCGAAGGGAAAGTTCCGTCCAAAACTGAGCATTTTTTTACCTTCTGCTGGGTTATGTGAAATTCGGACTCTGGCAACCAGAACCGACTCGGAATCCCCAGACGCACATCAATAAGCTGCAAGGTCAGTCTCAGTGACAGTGGAGCACTGTGGAGACCACCACAATGCATGAGATATTCCTCTCCGCCTTGTCCTCTATCCTTCACCAAAAATAACTCTGTGCATGGGACAGCGCTGGCCCAGGTTTTCCTTTTCCTCTTGGTGCCCGATTTAACCAGGAGGCAGCACGATCTCTGGGGGGATCAGCGCCATGTGCCTGCTTGTCGCACGGTTTGTTACTGGGAGGACAGGGTGCAGCGGTGCTGTGAGCGGATCCTGCAAGCTCCCCAAACCAACGTTTGACCACTGAGCATCACCTGAGGCTGCTCACAAAGACAGTGGCAGGTGACAGTGGTGCTTACACCTGGTTCCCAGGCACACCTCCTGCCACTGTCTTTGTTGCCATTAGGGGAATTCCCTGACTTACTGGGAGAATTAAAGCAGTATGGGAATATAGACCTCTCTGGCTCCTTGCTCTCATTTTCCCTGGCTTAGGGTTGTATTTACTCCTCCATTGACAATTGATAGGCCAGTGTAACTGAGGTCAGTATTTGGCTCTCTGTGTTTCTTTCATCATCTGCAAACTGGAGATAGTAGTGTTTATAAGGGCTGGGTGAATAATTCATGGCGTGGCTCCTTATTAAACAGATGTTGTCTCTCTGTTTGCAGATAGTCTGCAAATGGATTGCATTTTTTTCAATCTATTTGTTGTTCCAAATTATTCACCAAATACCTTCTGTAAATAATTTTATTGGCCTATAGTGCATTCAGAATATGAATTTGAATCCTACTTTATATGAGTATCTGTTGTTGCTCGTAAAAATTTTTTATTTCAACAACTATGCTTCCCAGCAAACGCGTCTCATAGAGCCTTCCTGGAAAGTAATGCAAGGATGGTATGAATATGTCAAGAGGGAACATTTAGGGGGTGTTCTTCTTCCTTTACTACTGATGCAGGTCTAATACCAATCTGCCTCACTGGGTGTTGTGAGGATTGGAAAGGTGTTTCCTGAATGTGAAATGCTTCTTAAGTAGACAGTGATACCCCAGCCCTGGCTGTTCTTCCCTGCCTCTCCTTTCGGTAGCAGGTGGTATGTGGTGGTGCTTGGTCCAGCTACTGTTGAAAGCAGGGCAGGAGGAAAGCGTGAGAGGTTGTACTCTGCTGTGCTCAGAGTACAAGCGTGGATCAAGCAGGAATCCATGAGACTGAGTCTGTGCTAATAAAGAAAATGGACGAGGGTCCAGAAAGCAAGCAGCATGGCGTGGTTTGTCTCTCATCCATATGACTGATCTCCTTTCCTTCCCAAAAGATGTTCGTACCAACTCACAGACATGGTTTGTGGGCTGTGCTATTCTCCAAATCATTCTGGGAGGCTTTCCTGGGAGGCTTTCCTAGGAGTCTGAAGCTATGCCACAGACTGTGCAGGCAGTACGGATGTGTGGGTATCCCTGTCTTTGGGTCCTGGGTGGTCTCCAGCATCTCAGGGACACGTTTTAAAGCCTACAGGTTGCTCAATGGCATTACTTGAATCACTGTGTGGTTATTTGTTTATTTGAAGAGCCATTTAGGATGTGCTTAGCTCCTACGTGCTCCTTCCCTGGGAGCTCAGGAAGGGGAGGTGCTGGTGGCGTCCCTGGAAAGGGACTGAGAGGGGATTGCAGCTCCCTGTTTTGCCGTCTGGGAAATGTGACAGGATGGGAGGGAAACTGGGAGTCAAGCTGGCAGCTTGTGTTTACAGAGTAGGAGCCTATTAGGGCAGACTGTAATTCTTGTTATGCTCCCATTGTATCAGGTTATATCATTACAATAATGAAGACAATTCATACAGGTAGAGCCCTAAGTATGTTTTCCCTCGTTAATATTTAAGTGCAGCCCCGTCCTTTTATAGCAACACAAAATTCTTGTGGAGGTTATAATAATGCATTAGTCTTCAGAATTTCTTTGAAGTTGAACTGATAAGCAAGATCTTTGGTCTGTGTAGAAAATAAAAACCTCTAGCATACAATTTATACTCCCTTTTTGTGAAGGTGTACTGTTTTTTTTTTTTATCCCCCACTGTGTTGTTTCAACAATAAAAGGAAAAAAAAATGGTGAGGAGTCCATGGCATGATACAGTCCTTCTGTAGCCTTGCCCAGGACGCAGTCTGCTGGGAAGTTTTTTAGGGAAGAGTGACTGAAGCTTCAGGCATAGGGACAGAACAGTGAGAGAAGTTAGGGTCTCTTAAATCTCATTTATATATTTATTATTTATTTATATAATAAATTTATAATATATAATGCATTTATAATTATAATATATTCTATATTTATAATGTATTTATATGTCTACTTATATCATTTATATTTTTAATATTATTTATATATTTCATTAATGCATATAGCACTGTCCAGGATTTCTTTTAGTGTTGAAGAGAAACAGATAAAAGGGCCAGGAAAACAAAGAGTCATTGGTGTTAACTGAGAGGTGTGGACCCCAACTGGCCACACTTGCTCACTCAAATTGAGAAACATAAACCAAAAAGTTCCTTAGTAGTGAGAAAATGCAGGGTCAGTTTGAAAAGGAACAGAATATTGGTTCTGCTCTTGTTTTTAACTACTCAAGTGTCAATACCGATTGATACTGCACAGATTTTGTAAACAACTGTTAAGTTTTGTATTAGGTTCAAATCAAATATTTTGGTGAAAGTGATAAGTTTAAATCTGATGCAGGTTGGCTTCGCAGCTAAAAATACCATGACAGTAGCTTGTTTTCGCTTGATATTTTGTCAGACCTAGCAAAAAATAAAGTTGGGAAAAAAGGGTTCTCTTAGCCTTTACTTAAAATTTTCATAGCTAAAGGCATGCAAAAAACTAAATATAGTAAAACTGTTGCCTTGAACAAAAAAGAACTTGTTGTTAAAGTGTCTGAATCAGTTCTCTGTTACAGTTGTTTGTTAGGTGGGTTTGGTTTCAAGAGCGTGGATGATGGTGGTTTGGGGAAGTTGTGTTAAAAATTTTGCTTGGGTTACGGAGCAGACATGCTCCTCCACCTGCCCCTTCCAGATAGTAAATTCAATCTCTAACGTGTTACTAGAGATGCGTATCTCAGGCTTTCCTTCTTCTCCAGCCTTTTTTATTTGCAGTAGTTGAATTAGCCGTTGTACTGAAATGCCAACCTGTACCATGGGAAGAGAAGGAGATGGATCGGTGCCGTCAGACCAGTATAGTTGTATAAAAACACTGTCCTCCTGCTGCAGCTTGTGAGAGATGGGTTGGTCATGGCAGCGCTGAAAGCGTGACAGCAAGAGATCTCATTGCCGTAACCTGCACCTGGAGAGGAGCAAGAGGGAACTGAGAGGTCCTTTGTGCTCGTCTCATCAGGCTAAACCTGTTTCTTACTTAAATCATTGTCCTTTCCATCCATAGCTGTTGTGAAGGAATTGAGGTTGCAGAGGCCAATGGTGATCAGGAGACCTCTTGGTGACCCACGAAGGGGGTGTCTTGGCCTGTGCCAAAGCAGCAAAGGGCTGAAGGGAGGCATGTTTTGGGTTTTGTTTGGTTTTCCTCAAACGAGGGTGTTGCTGTTGGATGTGAAGCCTAGGGAGGTTGGTGAGGGGGAGGCTGAAGGTGTCCATGAGGTGTCCTGAGCTGATCAACAGCTCCTTGCCACTGAGAAGGGATGTCCTCCTTCACCCCCTTTCTCCTGGTACTCCAATGCTGCCTTGGAGGGCACATGGGGAGAGGGAAAATGTGCACTGAAGTCAAATCTGAGTTGTGGGCTATGTTTGACACTTTGGAATGAGAGCGGCACGCATCCATTCTTCTTCAAAGTCATACCTATCAGGTGGCTAAAGGAGAAGTTTTCTGTCCTATGGCTTCTTATGCAGTGTCATTTTGCTTTGAGCAGATAGGCTGGGGCCTCCTCTGGACATACTGCTGGATTCACTGAACTGCACAGCATTCAGCGTGCAATGGAGGATGCCAAAGCAGCACACGAGCACCATCACGGGGTACACGGTAAGTGATCCTCCATGCTGCTAGTAGAGAATTGCAATACTCTACACAGCCTCAGACTACGCAGGTGACATGACAAGGCAAGCAGGAGAGCCCGCACTCACAATGAATTGTGCCGTTGCCCAGAACACAGTCAGGGACAGTGGCCTTGAATGGATTGAGCTGTGACTTTAAGAAACGTGTTTCAGAAGCAAGGAATGGGAATTTGGGTTGGATGCCAAGGGCTTGGAGTAGATGTAGATTGCTTTTCTGTTGTGGTTTTCATGCAAGGATCTTGGTGTTCCCTGCAGCTGATAAAGCAATAAAGTAGAGAGAGCAGGTCGATATTACACTGTGCAAGTGAAGGGAGATCCATGGTGATTTCAAGGCTGTTCAGATCCTTTGACTCGTACTTCCAGCCTGAGGGTTGCTTTAGCAGGAATAGCTTTTCCAAACTACACCTCTAAGCCTTCCCACAGCAGCAGCATATATAGAGGAAGGAGAGTTTCATAGCGTCTCTTCCCTTGATAGATACTGTACTTCATAGCATCCCTGGGAACCCAGACACAGCCTTAAATATCAAGACTTTTTTTTTATTGCCTTCTACTTCTGTGGTGAATTTCCCTTAAAGAAGTCCGGTGATTTTCCTGTTTTTCCCAGTAATTTTGTAGGGAAGGCTCTGACACTTTCCAAGCCTCTGCCACATCACCTGCCTGTTGGGCAAAGTGGAGGGGCTAGCCTAAACTGAGTGTTGTGTTTTGGTGTGCAAGCAGAAAAACAGTGAGCACAGATCTGCCATTTATTCATGTTTATTAGATATTGTTTTAACAGGTATTGCATGGCAATGACACTCAGTCCCAAAATGGAAGTTAGTCACTGGGGAATTAGCACCAAACATGTGGGATATCGACTAGAATCAGTTGGTTTCCTCTTCAACAAAAACACAAGTAGCAGTTGTTTTTGTTAGCATTTTCAGTGGCAGGATTTGAAATCTACAGAAAAAAATAATCCAAAATTCAGTTTTATGTAGAAAGATGAGACTCCTCTGACTACTTTTAGCATTAATGTACACTAAAAGAGTGAGAAAATTCCCTGAAATAGGTATTTCTGATATATATGCCCCTTCATCCTATTGTCTTGTAAATTACTCTAATGCAGCCCAGCTGCAGGGTTGTTTTTGTTGTTATGAAAGTGTTTGTAATCTAGGACAGCAAGAAGCACTTGCTGTGGCCAGAACATGCTTCAGCTGGGCTCTGTGTGTAGTCGGGTCCATTCTACTGTGTGAAAACAAAGGTGCAGTGATTAAGTGGCTTCTCTATTGGTCATGATATTTTTCAAACAGTTGCAATTCTTTATAGTTACAAATCATAGATAGTTTTCACTGTTCATGCAGTACATTAAGCATTAAAGCCCCATTTTATGTTTAAGCCTTGAGTTCATGTGTGGCATGATGGTAAAACCAATGACAAAGAGCGTTGATAGTGCTATACCCAAACCGTCTTCACATTAGCTTTTGACCCTCTGCCATCTCAGGGTCTCTCTGCACAGGAAGTCAGACTTTTCCTGGCTCATTAGTCTCCAGTACATGGCAACAGGCATGCAGAGACATTTATGATACAGCAATTTTTATAGTGACATAATCACGTAACGTCAATATCTTCCTTATAGGAAGTAAAATGCCTAACTTGTGCAGACCAGCCCCACAAATCTTCAGCTGTCTAAGCTGACTATGGCCAAGTGATGCACAATTAAAGTTGTCAGTTCTAGTCTGTCCTGAAAGCTAGGCTGTGTTTCACCTCGGTTCACTGTATACACCGTAGGATGATGTCCTTTGGTCATACTGACAACTTCGAGCAAATGTGAAGGAAATGTTAAAGGGCATTAGCTTTTCGTGCTTTTGAAAAGGTAAGGGATCATAGGCTCAAATGCTGTCCACAACGTGGTAACAATGCACTTGTTTTTAAGTCATTCTCAAGCATTGCCTTACTGCTTTAACTGGCTTGACTATATCTTCTTCCCAAGGTCTTTTACTCAGAGGTTGAAGATGACAAAGCAGTTAAACAGCGCTCACACGATGTTCCCCTGAGTTTGGATATGCTTAGCATGGTGAGTATTTCTTTTCATCAACAGTCAGAGGACTGGAGCGGGGCTGGCAAGTGGGAACTTAGAACTATCTACTTGCTGCTGGTTTGTGAATTATGCCAAAGATCCAAACCTCAGATCTGCTCTGGGTATTGAGCAAGAGGAAATCACAATGTTTTTCTGTAATCTAGTCTGTGAGCCACACTTTTGCTCCTTGTTTTCTGATTAGTTGATCATGTAAAACTATTGAGACCTGCTTACATCTTCCTAGTACTGACCTTGGGCATCTACTAAAAGAGTACTTTTAATTTTGAATATGCCTTTTCTGTGCACTTCCACACGTAAAAGGGGTATTGCACAACTCTATGCTCAATCAGAGTTGCAATATCAGTGCATATGTATTGCTGTGTCTGACACAGGTGAGTGCGTGAGTTAAAGGAGATGGAGTTTTCAGTGTATTTTTGTCTCTGTGAGACTGTGGCCTCCTGAAAGATGGAATTTAAGGTTTAATAGTGCTGCTTTAGTTGCATTTGTGCAAGTCCAGCTCCTAGAAGATTCCCTTAACTTCTGGTTTTTTGGTTCTTGAAAGCACTACTTTTCCTCCTTGCTTCCCATTTTCCCCGTTTCCTTTAGTTCTGTTTTTCCTTTTATTGCTCCTTTGTTTTCTTGCTTTGCTTTGTTTCATTCTCCCCTTCTATTTCTTCCTTCCCTTCTTCTGTTCAATTTTCCCTTCCTTTTTTGTTCGTGAGTGAACACTGCCTATCCTCTTCTGCAACACAGCTGAGCGATTAGTGCTGAGGTTAAAGAAATTCCTCCGTGCTTCTGGGTGGTTTTAACATGGTCTGCTTTTAAAGAGTGTTCTCGAAATGTGCTAGTGCTTCCTCAGTGCAGAGAAGCTGCTTTTTTGAGTTCAGCAAGGCAGAAACAGAGATTTTCCAGCCTCTGCTCGGGCAGAGAGCGAAGGAGCATTGCAGGATGGGTGCTGCAAGGGGAGCTCTGCAAAGAGCAATCTGTCCGCGAGACAGCAGCCTTACCAGCACAGGAATCAAAGGCTTGTAGGTGTGCACAGAGGAGGACTGCAGGCTTTCCAGACTTTATTTGGTGATCCTTCTTCACAATTCTGTTTTTTCCTCCTTTCTCTTCTACTCATCTTCATTCTCCTTTATTTCCTCTCCCCTCTTCCTTCAGGCTCCTCACCTGATGTTCAGTGACGTGCATTCACTTGTATTTCATGGTGCCCGCCGGGCAGTCCTCAGAAACCTTTCCTGTGAGAAGCATGAGTGAGAGGGATGCTCAGATTTCCTGCAGTTTTCAATCACTCTGGATTTTGGTTCTGACTCCTGCAGGTTTCTGGGATCACGGCAAATGAAAGCATACCATTGCTGTGATACATTATTTCTTTATTTATACATTATTTTCTCCTTTCCGATCTTTATCTCTGTATTCCTCACTTGCTTTTTTTTTCCCTGAAAAAAATATTCTTCCTAGTAGTGCCAAACAAGATCAAACAGCACATTGCTGTTTTATTTTAATCCTGAAAGCAGTAATTCTTACTCACTAGGAGAACAGAGTCTGTATCCCAGTACTCACGCAGATGAATAACCACATAAACTACTATATGCTGCAGCATTGGCCTTGTTTTAATTCCCTGATCTGTTATTTATGTGGTTTTGCCATCACTTGTTAGTATCTTACTTCATTAACAAGCCCTGTTTTGCTTCTTCCCAGGGTCAACTTGAAGGACAAGCAATTTTTGTAAGTATTGCTTCACATGAAACTTGGTTGCAGCTGTGTTTTAAAATGAAATTAAATATTCCTGACCTGGTCTTTCCAGATTCACATGCAGAAGTTGATCGCAAATGTTAATTCTACTTAATGCTTATACAGGATCTTTTGTAGTCAAAATGTGGCAAATAGTAGCAAAAGCTCAAAATCTAGATGTGAAGAAGGTGGACAAGTGTAGGTATAGTGACTCCCTTTTTAGCAGTGGATAAACTTTCCTGTCGGTTATCAAAAGTATTTATGGATGTCTTGATTCACTGGAGGAAATTTGTGAAAAAAAATTAGCTACATCCAGGCAGTGAGGACTTACGGGGTACAGGGAGAGCTGGGCAGTCAGGCACAGAGTGACAGGGAAGAATAAAGCAGTCTGGCAGTGGGAGGAGAGATGGAGAGGAAAAAACCTGAGCCAGTGCAGCGACAGCCGAGGAGGAGGAACGCGGGAAGACGCCAGCCACGGAACGCCCAGGAGGAAGGAGTGGGAGACTAGCAACTAGTCTGAAAGAAATACCGTCCCTCTTAATGGCTTTGCAGCTGGTAGATTATTTAGATTAATTGTTTCCAATTGCGCACTCGGTCCAGTCTGCTTCCTATCAGCTGTAAACAGGTCAGGCTTATGGTGAGAGGGGAAGCAAGCAGGAGGTGCTTGGGTTTGGGTAGGATGAGGGCAATGATTTCAGTGTTTAACTGAAATCTCTAACATCAACAACCTTTTGCAAACTTTTTTTCTCTGAGATCTGTTCTAGGAATGGAGAAATCTCAGAAAGTTGGTGGATGTCACACAGCTTTCATGGTATGAATTAAAGGAAGTTTGGTTGGACTGTAGGAGGCCAATAGGTTTGGATGAGACCTCAGGATGCACTTGAACTCAGACTATCTGGTTCAATCCCAGCTGAGCTGAGTCTGAATTATGGCATTTCAGAGTTGAGGTTCCATGCTGGGCTCTTTTTCTCTGCTTGATAAAAATAACACTTCTGAGGGGTACTTGTGGAGAAGTATGACTGACTGGGATTAATCAGCTCCCAGCTGTCATTAATCCTCAGGAAGTGGTGTTCTCGCTGAAAAGCATTCTGTTATATTCATACCAAACTCAACAGAAATCTGCAATAGTTTTGTGGTTAAGTCTGCATAGTTTGTGTTTCCGTCACTAAGCCTCCTCTCCTGGTGCCGGGTACAGCCCCGCTGCTTTCTCAGAGGCTTCTCTGGGCCGTGCGAGGCTGTCGTAGCAAGAGCTGAACTGGGTCACCTGTTTCTATGTGTGCATGTGTGCATGTGCTTGTGCCTTAGCAAAGTGGATAATGTATTATAGCTGTATTATGTCATCTTATAATCGAGAACACGTAAGTGAGAGCAGCCAGGAGAAGTGCAGATGCAGTACTGTTTTATAAGGCAGTTGTTCTACTGGGCATAATATTCATGAAGTTGAACACAAATTGAAAAAAAAAAAAAAAAAGCAAGAAAAAATAGCAGGCTTGAAAGGTGAGAGGTTTTAGGTCAGGCACAGAGCTCTGGAAAACAGCAGTACTCCCTATCAAATCACCAAACACACCAGTACAAAAATGGGAAGTGACCAGCTGAGACGAGCAGTGCAGGGAAGGAATTGTCAGGGGATCCAGTGTCATTAAACCCAGCTCAGTTTCTGCAGCTGCGCTGTAATCCAGGGTTTGATGTTTTTTTGGATTAAAACAAACCAAGACAGAAAACAGGTTTTCTTTGGAAAATAATTTGTAATCCAGGTTTCTATGAGGTGGTTTACTGTGCAGCCTTACAGTTTCGGCACACTTGCATGGAGGGCAAGCTGGGTGGCAAAGCAGTAAGGGGTATGCAGTTTCTACGTACATCTGACTCCTCTGACAAAGAAGGGGCATCGTGTTGCTTCACCCATTCAAGAGCATGAGATTGTAATGCACATACTAAATGTCGTTTTGCAGGGTTTTAGCAAGAGTGTTGTGTAAAACAGGAAAGGGAGGTTGGTGCCCAGCAAAGCCTCATCAGCAATGTGATGTCCAGTTTGAGGTATCATACTTCAAAATATAGAGGCAATCTGAGTGGAGAGAAAGAGTACAAAAATGATGGGGAGCTGACTCTTCCACATACCACCTTAATTCCTCAGTTGTTAGTCCACTGTGTCTCTTCTGAGATGGAGAAAACTTGAGTTTAAGATCCTTCTCCTAAGTACAAGTGAAAAAAGAGACGAAATATGTACTCCCAGATTCCTGGACAGTGGAGTACAAGGAAATGTGTTTCTTCTCCAGAATCTCATTTGAAAATGTTCTGGTGTGAGATGGGTATTCTCTGAGATTGCCATGGGTCAGGGTAGCTTGATGATGTCCTGAATCTTTACCTATTTGCTAATGTCTTGATCTTAGCAGACGAGAAGATACTTGGTCTCAAAAGCACCCACTGTATGTCCAACAGTTGTGTGTATAGAGATGACATTGCCAGAAGAAAGAGGCAGATAGCCATGCATGTAAGGCTAGAGAGAACCTTCCTGAGGTTTTGAGGGTGCACATGTTGAACTTAAATACCTTGCAGTCAGAGACTCATTCTATTTAGTTTCTTGTAGTCTTGAGTCTGCAGGTAATAATATCATACAAGTACATATCCCATAAAATATCTCACTTTCTGCACAGGCCAAGTTCCTTGATAGCGTGAAAGCAATGAGACACGTAATGAAGGATTTTTTTGCATAAAAATGAATGTAATAAAGAGGGATGCTGGCACGAAGAAATGCACACAGTTTAAACACAGACGGCCAGTATGTTATGCATAACGTGGAGGGTGGAATGGCAGGAGCAGGATCATCAGTATTGTCATCAGGAGGAGATGCTGGGTTTTCAGGAACTGACTTTTCAGATCACATTTTGAAAGATCTCACTCACTTCAGCTACTGAGACTGAAAGGCCCAGATAAATCTTTTGGTGTGACTGTGCTTACTGCCTCTCTCTGGGCAGTTACTTTTCCAGCATTGCTATGATCTCTCTCAGATGAGTCCAAATCATTCAAGCAGATCAAGAGTGAATGATGGAAAAACGAGACAATGGTCAGGTCGTCCATGTTAATAGGAAATCAGTGATGGATCTCCAAAACCGCCACTAGAGATATGACAGATGGTGAGATGTTGCTGAACAATGTTGTAGTAATAGCATAAGTTCTCCAAAGAATAGAGAGGGAGAGTTTGTCCAAAAGACTGTCATAAGGACATTTAGCAGTTAATAAAATTTTGAGATTGTTTACTATTTTACTGCAACTGGAAATGCAGATTTAAAGTCTGTTCTAGCATGAAAAGAAATGAGATCTCTACGTTTTCACATGCACTGTGAATAATGTTTTTAATATCAGGGAATGAAAAACAGGAAAAAAATTCCCGTACAATAGTTTTTTATAAGTGCTTTTTTTTAATACCAAAACAGTCTGTGTTGTAGAACCTGGTATTTCTATTTACTTGAATATGCTGTCAAAATTTGTAAATCTGGGATTTGCATCTCTCTACAGATAAGCTGCAGGTGAAGAATACTGAATTTCTATACACATGTAGATATGTTCCTTTCAAGAGCAGATCTAAATGTCTGAAGCTGATCCATGCTATATGTGCCAGCCAGTGAAAAAATGTAATTTTTCGGTGACATTTGCTAATTTCTGGAAGATTTGAGCAGGTTCTGAATACTCTGAACAGTATTCAGCAGAACAAGCTCTTCACATGAAGTTTGGCATTGTTTCCCTCACAGTAGTTGTCTATGGGTTAATCTTTCTGTATTTATGGCAGAAAGACAAATAAGGAAAATGCTCGCTTCAGGTCGAGGCTAGGAAAATTGTGAGAGACGATGGGACTGGTCTCTGCTCCGTGAGAAATTAAAGATCGTCAGTTCACACCGACTTGCTGCTTTCTCAGGATCTTCTATGGTCACTGGATTTAAAAGAAAAACAAACCCAAAAACAAATAAAATAAGAATGCACCAGACTGATACTGAATGCCAGCAATTGGCTCAAGGGAGGGAATAGAATGTGATTTTGACTTCACCAGCTAAAAAGCCAGACAACAAATGCAAATGATCTGCAACCTTATGAGTTATGCTGAGAAACGGGTCCAGGTCATCCCTGTGGATTCCCCCGGGGCGAAGCTGCAGCTTGAGAGGAAACACGTGGTGCTGTTTGTGTTTGTTGCTTCTGAGCAGGGCCGGGGACAATCCTCCTAGGAGGATTACATGGAAATCTCCTAGGAAACCTCCTAGGAGGTTACATGGAAAATGCCGTGTAAGGTCCTAGCTCACAGCGCCGTCTCCAGTCACATGGAAGACCTTTCACAATGTTCTGTTCTTGTCTGCTCTTGACTCTGGTAGGAGGTTGTGATCGGTGATCTAAAGCCAGGCACTCCACACCGTGTTAGCGTTGGAGCGTACGGCTGGGCAGGGAAAGGACGACCCAGCATGCCCAGGGACGTGACGACTTTATCCCAAGGTAACGCTGCCTGAGTGGCTTTCTATCACAAAACTGATGGGACACACGCCTGTAACATGGCAGGTCATGCACATCTAAATCTCTGTCACGTGCAGTATCATAACATTTTACTACTACTTTTCCAGAAGTATGGGGTTTTAGAGGGGCAAGAGAAGCCTCTAAATTTGATTCTCAAGTCTGCAGGTGTTGGGTTTAAGTGTGTGTTAGCCTGTCCACTTCTCTGATGCTGTTCCTTTGCTTTTCTTCTGGCTTAGATAAGTGCATGCCCCCTGCACCACCCTACCAGCCCCAGATCGTTGTAGTTTCTGATTCAGAAGTTGCGTTATCCTGGAAGCCTGGAGTGAGCGAAGGAAGTTCTCCCATCCAGTACTACATGGTGGAGTTTATCAGGCAAGTTTGCCAGTAGAGTCTGAATGTCAGTGTTTGTGCACTATGGGTTTTTTTCACCTAGCTGCACTATTAAACAGCATATAGATTCTTCTCATGATTTATTTGCTTGTTGTGTATAGTACACGTAGTTTTCTTTTTGATATGTGTTGAATTACTATTAAAATTTAAAAATAAAACCAGAAAATAATCTACTTTTTTTATAAAGTAACCAATAAATTTCACCTTCTGATTGGAGAAAATAAGGTCTCATTTGATCTGTTCTCTCTAAAAAAGGCTGGATAAATGCATTTTTAAGTTTCTCCTGTCATCAAACACTGTCGAACCATGCTGAGCGAAGAGTCTGTGGCAGAGCAGTTCTCTTGAGCAGGAATATCCTGGGCTGCTATAGGAAATAATCTGGGGATCACAATCTCAGTTTGTAGGGCAGTTTTACCTGACAAAAGTCTTTTGTGTCTTGAGTTTGCAAGACTCAGACTTGCTTTGTTATCCTAATGCTAATCAAGTTTACATTAAATGTTATCCTTTCTGTTCAGGTTTTTTAGGTGGGGTGTTGGTGGTTTTTTTTTCTTCTTTTATGTTGAACTCTCTAATATTTGCAGTAACAGAACTGAACTGTAGAAAGTCGCCAATCGAATTGTTTTCATAGGACGAATACAAAGGGTCAGGAGGAGGTGGTGGTATCTGCATGCACAAACAAGCACTCGTACCTGACTGTTCGTGTGCTTGCGTAAGCTAAGATCTGCATACAAAGCTGTTTATTTTCATGTGCTTGCGCCTATGTTTACCCTTACAGTGAAGGCAAAATTCAACCTTTGGAAGTTTAATCCTTTGGGTGAACACTTGATGACAGGTTTTAGTTGAGGTTTCTGGATAAGAAGAGAGTACTGCTTCTTTAACTGCTCCGAGCTGGTAAAGGTCAAAAAGACATTCTTCAGAAAAACATACTCATTTTTAAAAAAGGATTGTTTTTGTTAAAACAGACAGAAAGAACTATCGGTTTTCAGTGCTTGAAGTATGGTTACAATCTAGAAGATATTAGTATAATGAAAAGAATTCCCAGGCCGAAAGCCTGCTTGTGAACTTATGTTGCACTTTGTGTTTGAGTCAGAATGCCTCATATTTAGCAGGAAGCCGTTACAATGTTGGTTGCACTGGGAGGCAAGATACAAGGGCTGAAAATACGTTATGGCCGTCACGTAAACTCTGCTGTAGTGTCACCGTGAAATTTCTCCGATGTCTATTTTTCATGCACAATAGTTATCCGAGCCCTTCTCTCCTCTCCCCATCTCTTCTCTCTCATTTGCTTGGTGTTAGACAAGGGATTTTGTTGGGTTCTGATTGACCACACTCATGTTGCCTCTGTGCTGGAAAGTGGAGCCTGCAGGTTTATGTACACCTCTTCAGGGGACTGCTAATGGAAGAAGAAGTGGGTACCATCATCTCCATCTGACACTTTGAAAGTGCACTCTTGAATATTTCTGTTCAGCTAGAGAGTGGAAACAGTGCCTTCACTGTTTAAGTTGAAAGACGCAAGTAATTGAAATTTCAGTGTTTCGTTGGTTTTAGACTTTGGGAAAGAATTTGCTAACAGCACTGTGTTTTGATTACACTGTTTAGTTTTAGGTTTAAAGCTAAGCTTGAAGTGTATTTGTTAATTTTGGGATTATGCTCTCTCAGACTTGGAAGCTTGATTATGTATTTGGAGAATGTTCAATGAGCCATAAGCCCTAATGGCAGTTATAGGTAAAGATTTAACTTCAAACTTCGTTGTATTTTGCTGCATATAGTTTTAATTACTATAAAATGTATTAACATGAGTGAAAGCTGTTAAACTAAACCTATATAAAACTAAAACAGAACAGTGCAAATAAATTTAGAATTAAATCCTCTTATGTCAAAGAAATACAATATTATCCTGTGCTTTTGCAAAATGAGTGACTTATGCAAATCTGTAATTTCTCTTGGGGACATCACAAACCTCAAAAAATGAGATCATTTAAATCATTTCAGTCCCCTTAGAACTAACTTTGTGACTTTAACCCTAGAAAAACCATGCTAGGAGAATGAGATGAGGGAAACTCACTCTTTTCATTTGCTGTGATATGCCCCATTCCCAGAAGCCGTCAGGGTCAGGTTGGATGCACCTATGAGCAACCTGATCTAGTGCAAGGTGTCCCTGCCCATTGCAGGGGGGTTGGACCTAGGTGATCTTTAAGGTCCCTTCCAACCTGAACCATTATGATTCTATGATTCTGTGATATTAGGGATTAATAATCCCATGCATCATGGGGAATAAGCAAGAGGAGTTAGAAGTGTATGCGCGCCTGTTGGAATATGATCTTATTGACATCATGGAGACGTGGTGGGATGAATCCTATGACTGGAGTGTCAGAATAGAAGGGTACAGGCTCTTTAGGAAGGACAGGCAGGGGAGAAGAGGAGGAGGAGTTGCCCTCTATGTTGAAGACCAGTTGGAGTGCACCTGGGGATGGATGAGGTCCCAACTGAGAGTTTATGGGTTAGGATTAAAGGGAGAGCAGGGACAGGGGACATAGTAGTAGGGGTCTGCTACAGACCACCTGACAAGGAGGACCGGGTGGATGAGGCCCTCTACAGACAGATAGAATCTGCCTCACGTTCACGAGCCCTGGTCCTCACGGGGGACTTCAACCAGCCCGATATCTGTTGGAAGGACAACACAGCAGGACATAGGCAATCCAGGACGTGCCTGGAATGCATGGATGATAATTATCTTCTCCAAGTGGTAGAGGAACCAATGAGGAGAGGTGCTTTGCTGGACCTTATTCTCACAAACAAAGAAGGACTGGTGGGGAACGTGATGCTCAAGGACAGCCTTGGCTACAGTGATCATGAAATGATGGAATTCAAGATTCTTAGGGCAGCAAGGAGGGTGCACAGCAAGCTCACTACCATGGATTTCAGGAGAGCAGACTTTGGCCTCTTCAGGGATCTCCTCACTAGAGTGCAATGGGATGAAGCTCTGGAAAGATCACCTCCTCCGAGCTCAGGAGTGGTGCATCCCAACAAAGAGAAGGTCAGGTAGGAACACCAGGAGGCCCACATGGATGAACAAGATTCTCCTGGACCAACTTGAACACAAAAAGAAGGCCTACAGAGGGTGGAAACAAAGACAGGTAGTCTGGGAAGAATACAGAGCAATTGTCCGAGCAACCAGAGATCAGGTTAGGAAAGCTAAAGCCCTGATAGAGTTAAACCTGGCCAGGGACATCAAGGGCAATAAGAAAAACTTCTATAGATATGTCAGTGATAAAAAGAGATCTAGGGAAAATGTGGGCCCTCTCCGGAAGGAAACAGGGGACCTGGCTACCCGGGACATGGAGAAGGCTGAGGTTCTCAATGACTTCTTTGCCTCAGTCTTCACTGGCAAGAGCTCCAGCTGCACCGCCCAAGCCACAGCCACAGAAGGCAAAGGCAGGGACTGGGAGAATGTAGAACCACCTACTGGAGGAGAAGATCAGGTTTGAGACCATCTAAAGAACCTGAAGGTGGACAAGTCCATGGGACCTGATGAAGTGCATCCGCGAGTCCTGAGGGAACTGGCAGATGAAGTTGCTAAGCCGCTATCCATCATATTTCAGAACTTGTGGCAATCTGGTGAAGTCCCACTGACTGAAAGAGGGGAAATATAGTCCCCATCTTTAAAAAGGGGAAAAAAGAAGACCCAGGGAACTACAGGCCAGTCAGTCTCACCTCTGTGCCCGGCAAGATCATGGAGCAGATCCTCCTGGTGACTATGCTAGGGTACATAGAAAATAAGGAGGTCATTGGTGACAGTCAACATGGCTTCACTAAGGGCAAATCCTGCCTGACTAATTTGGTGGCCTTCTGTGATGAGGTTACAACATTGATGGATAGGGGAAGAGCAACTGACATCATCTACCTGGACTTATCCAAAGCATTTGATATTGTCCCACATGACATCCTTATCTCTAAACTGGAAAGACGTGGTTTTGATGGATGGACCACTCGGTGGATAAGGAATTGGCTGGATGGTCACACTCAAAGAGTTGTGTTCAACAGTTCAATGTCCAAGTGGAGGCCTGTGACAAGTGGTGTTCCTCAGGGGTCAGTACTGGGGCCAGTGCTATTTAACATCTTTGGTGGTGACGTGGACAGTGAGATCGAGTGCACCCTCAGGAAGTTTGCAGATGACACCAAGTTGTGTGGTGTTGTGGACACGCTGGAGGGAAGGGATGCCATCCAGAGGGACCTTGAAAGGCTGGAGAGATGGGTCTGTGAGAACCTCATGAAGTTCAGCAAGGCCAAGTGCAAGGTCCTGCACGTGGGTCGGGGCAATCCCAAGCACAAGTCCAGGCTGGGCGGAGAATGAATTGAGAGCAGCCCTGAGGAAAAGGACTTGGGAGTGCTGGTGGATGAGAAGCTCAACATGAGCTGACAATGTGCGCTGGCAGCCCAGAAAGCCAACCCTATCCTGGGCTGTATCAAAAGAAGCGTGGCCAGCAGGACGAGGGAAGTGATTCTGCCCCTCTAGTCAGCTCTTGTGAGACCCCACCTAGAATATCGTGTTCAGCTCTGGAGTCCCCAATATAAGAAGGACATGGAGCTACTACAGGGGGTCCAGAGGAGGGCCATGAAGATGATGCGAGGGCTGGAGCACCTCTGCTATGAAGACAGGCTGAGAGAGTTGGGGCTGTTCAGCCTGGAGAAGAGAAGGCTTGAGGGTGATCTTATAGCAGCTTTCCAGTACCTAAAGGGGGCCTACAGGAAAGCTGGAGAGAGACTTTTTACAAGGGCGTGTAGTGATAGGACAAGAGGCAATGGATTCAAACTGAAAGAGGGCAGATTTTGATTAGATATAAGGAAGAAAGTTTTTGCGTTGAGGGTGTTGAGGCACTGGAACAGGTTGCCCAGAGAAGTTGTAGATACCCCATCGCTGGAAGTGTTTAAGGCCAGGTTGGATGAGGCTTTGGGCAACCTGGTGTAGTGGAGGATTTCCCGGCCCATGTCAGGGGCGTTGGAACTAGATGATCTTTAAGGTCCCTTCCAACCCTAACCATTCTATGATTCTATGATTAAAACCTCATGAAAACTCAATCCATGAATTGTTTGTATGTACTAGAATCTAATCAGAACTAGGGTTAACCTGTAGTCTGTTTCTACTTGTGGTCTGAATTTGGCCCTCTGTTTAGGCACTTGCATGGATTTCCCTTGGGACCTTTTGGTATGCTGTAGGTAGTGGAGGGCTGCAGATCATTTCAGATGTGAGACGGGCTGGACTAACTCACGCTCTGCTCTGCTGATGACCGTAAGGGAATGCTAAGGAGACCACAAGCCCAACTTGACTAAATGCTGAAAATCAGGAGGGCAAATATAGGTCTCACTGCTCACTGCACAGTTCATGGGGAATGTGTAAAAGAGTGTGTTAAAGCTAAAATAGCTGATGGGATCTGTGGAAGTTTGCAGGCTCAGTGTTAATAGTCTGCGGATTTATGCTGAGAAATATTTTATGACAAACAGCATTCTTATGAAAGACTCAGGATTTAAACATACTAGTTTGGGTGCTTTTCCTAAAGATGCTGTATAAAATTATTATTTTTCAAAAATGTCTTGGATATTTTCACTTGAGTACTCCAAATACTCAAATTTTTAATCTGTTGAAGGCCTACACAATCATCTATCATCTACACAATCATCACAATTCTCTGGAGGTGTTCAAGGCCAGGTTGGATGGAGCCTTGAGTAGCCTGGTCTAGTTGAGAGGTGTCCCTGCCCATGACAGGGAAGTTGGATTAGATGATCTCTGAGGTCCCTTCCAGCCTATGCCATTCTATGATTCTATGATTCTATTATCTAAACTTGGAGACTAACTTATTCACGTTTTTATAGCCAGCTAGCTTCTACATAACCACGTTTCAGCAGTATCCCTTAAAAGGAAGTTGATCACTTTCTTTTCCTCTCCTCAGTACGTAGATGGACTCAACAGCTTTCAATATTAATCTTGACATATGGGGGACTGCTGCAATGAAGTAGGTGGGTTCTGCTGATAAAACTGGGAAGATTTATCAGTGTACAAATGTTAGGATGGAGTAGATTCAGCATAGTGTTGTGGGCAGATTAGTTTAAAGCCTTCCCCCTAAAAATAAGGTGTATCCCTGAATCTATTCTGTGTAAACTGGTGCTTCACTGAGCCTGGCAGTCGTATTTGCTTTTGTTTGCTGGGAACCGCAACCAACAGATCTGACCAGGGAAATGCCTCCTCATGCCCAGTAAAAATACCTTTAATACTGCTTTCTTGATTAATGCATGAAACAGATACATCTGCCTAAACATTTACTTTGCTCTTTATGAGGGTTAAATACTTGGAAAGGTAGTTAAAGAAGAAAGAGGAGTGGAAGACATAGAAATTAAGAAAAAATTCTTAACAATATTAGACAGCATCAGAAAAATATTTAACAAAAGAATAAGGTTAGAAAATTATCTGCTTTCCTTTTTCTGAGTTGAACAGGCATATTGGTTGACGTATTTTACAGAAAGTGTCCCAATAAAGCTAAATAATAATAATTACTAAAAATAATATCCAATAGCGTGTTATTTTCTGCATTGAGTAGTTTCCGTAGCGAATAAGAATGCATTGTGCTTGTTGCCATATTTATTATTTGTACGAATATTTAAAAATAAAAAATTAGTGAAGTTGAATTTACCACTTGAGATGAGTACAAACAAGGCACAAAAGAGCAATCGAAAATGGTATAAAAATTGAATTGCTAGCCGGTGCTTTACTCTGTTAAATCATTTCCAGGTGATTTTAAGAAGTTCAAGTGAATATAGAATTCTCCACATCAGAAAGATTTCCTTTCCTAAATCGAGTCAGTCCCCAAATTATAATGTAAAGCATTGATCCAAATGTTTTGAGTACGTCTGGGGCAGAATTCTGCTCTCAGTTTATATCTGTCCAGTCCTATTGACTTTACCCATATGTTTATTATCTTAAAAACACTCTGACTTTGTCACTGGCCAGATTCTTACTGCATGGCCTTTCTGCGTTGGAGATGCACAGCTGTAACGTCAAGAGCAGAAAATGCCCATGGAAGTTGTCTGATTTCCCCATGCACAGATATATCGTCTGGAGCAGCCCTGCGACGTCCCAGATGGAGACAGAGATCTGCGCTGGTCCAGGGAATGTAGCTCTGCAGAAAGATGGGGAAAATGGCATCAAAATGAGCCCTTCCAGTGTAAAAGTTGACACAAACTGAATTTTGATGTGAAAAGGACCCTGTAGTCAATTTTCAACAAAATGTTTCCAGCTTAGAAAACACAAGAGCTGGCTGGCCTTGGACACCATCACCAGCTGAGTTTATTGTGTTCCTCTCCCCATCTGTTTGCCATTTTTTCATCTTGTACTGATTTGTTCACACAGGGAACGTTCTGGAGAAATAGCAAAGGTCGAGTGATA